CAGGGCTCAAGTGACCCTCTCGCCTCAGCCTCAAGAGTGACCGGGACTTCAGGTGCCGCCTTGTCCGGGTTTTTTTTTTTTTTGGTAGGGATGAGGTCTCTCTGTAGCCCAGGCTGGTCTCGAACTCCTGTCCTCAAGTGATCCTCCTGCCTCAGTCTCCCAAAGTGCTGGGATTAGAGGCATGAGCCACCACACAGTCAATTTTTCTTGTCTTTTCCTAGTGATGGGGTCTTGCTATGAAGCCCAGGCTGTTTACAGACTCACTGACAAGACAGAAGCCCCAGTGCCAACCACCTCTGAGAGCAGAGACATGCGCCGTCACTGCAGGAGCAGAGTGGGCAGGGGGCAGGGACTCCCCAGGGTTCGAGCGGCATCCCCATGGGAGCCTGGGAGGAGGGGCGCAGGCCAGCACCCAGGGGCAGGAGGAAGCCTCCAGTCCCGGCAGCCATGGCCACCCTGAGGCCAGTCCCGGGGTCCCAGGGCCTCACCTCACTGTTGAGGAAACAGCAGAACACAGACACAAAGAAGCCCTGGGGGGGTGCAGTCAACACCTGGGCAGGTGCAGCCCCCTGGCCTCTGCCCCAGCCTCCTGCCCGCCCAGCCTCTGCCCTGGCCCTCCCCGGCCTCTTGCCCGCCGGGCCTCTCCTGGCCCTTCCCGGCCTCCTGCCTGCCCAGCCTCTATCCAGCCAACCTGGTCTCCTGCCCGCTCAGCTTCTGCCTGGCCCTCCCAGCTTTCTGCCCACCTGGTCTCTCCCTGGCTCTGAACGGTCCTCCCTGGCCTCCTGCTTCTGCCGGCTTCTGTCTGGCCCTCCCGGCCTCTGCCTGCCTGGCCTCTGCCCGGCCCTCCCTGGCTTCCTGCCCTTCTGGCCTCTGCCTGGCCCTCCCTGGCTTCCTGCCCTCCTCGCCTCTGCCCTGCCCGCCTCCGTCTCCTGCCCAACTGGCCTCTGCCCATCCCTCCCCAGCTTCCTGCCTGCCCAGCCTCCTGCCTGTCCAGCCTCTGCCTGGCCCTCCCTGGCCTCTTGCCTGGTCCTCCCCTGCCTCCTGCTCACCTGGCCTCTGCCTGGCCCTCCCCGGCCTCCTGCCCCGGCCCCTGCCTCAGCCTGGGAGAACCCCACGAGAGGGGTACAGACCTCCCTGGCTCCCACCTGGGCTGGAGGGGGTGGCCACACCCGGAAGGACTGCAGAAAGGAGTTGAAGTGGATGAAGACCACCCGGGAGACCTCGTCCTCCCCGCGGTTGACGAAAAACAGCATGTAGGTGATGCCCAGGAGGGGAAGCAGCACCAGCGTGGCCTTCGCGGCCTTCTTGGTGCGGGCGGGAGGCTGAGTTACAGCCCCGCGGGGAGCCAGAGCCTCGCGGGCTGGGGGCCTCTGAGGCGGGAGTGGAGGGCGGCCGGGGTCGGGGCGGCGGTCACCCGTACCGGACGGTCTCCGAGGTGGTGGAGGCCCGCAGCTTGGTCACGAGGATGCCGACGATGTTGAAGAGGAAGACGAAACCGATCTGCAACCCAGCAGCCGCCCGCGGCAGGCGTGTGCACGAGGCCAAGGCCGCCTCCCCGACTCTGCCCGGTCGGCCCCACCCTCTGGCTTGGGGTGCACACGCCCACCCTGCTGCCCCTAGAAAGGCCGGCCCTTCCGACGTGCCCTCTCCGGCCCGCCGCAGGGCTCTTACCAGCAGGACCAGGATCATGGGGCCCTGGTAGATGTAGTCTGTGTACACGCCGGGCCTCTTGCCAAACCAGCACCTGGACC